ATTTTAGTCCTTAAATATTTCATACCAATCGTTGCTTTTTAGCTTCACGGGTAATCTAATTCAAGAATACAAGGGATTTATCTATATCTAGGCTCTAGATCTAGAATCTAGGGGTCGTCCATAAATGACGTCACACTCGTAGGCGGAAGGGGGGGGGGGTCCGTAATTTTGTAACGATGTGTGATGAGAGGGAGGGGGGGGGGTTCAGATGGTGCTACGTCACACTTGTGCAATATAAATAAACCGGGAGTGATCTCTAAACTTTCTCGAATATTCTTATATAAAACAACAGGGGATGGGAACTTGGGATATAGTTATGATTTTTAATCCATTTTAAATACATAACTTTTTTAAATAGAATAGAGTCTCATAGAAAAAAGAATTGCGCACCAAGCGAACGCCTAAACAAAATGTGCATAATAGTGCGGAATATTACTATTATAAATTTACATGCGTTTTTTTGAGAAATCGGAAATAGCGTAAATTACAACATCCTGTCAACGGAAATTACTCAAAATTCGATAGAAGGTAGCGGATTAAATCTGTTACTTACGTGTGAAATTTCATTTATCTATCTGAAATAGTACTCGAGTTATAGGCTTTCAAAGTGAAAAAAGTACGGATCTAAGATTTTGATAAAATACTTATATATGAGATTTCATCAACCTAGCTGTAACGGTACTCAAGTTATCGTGTTTATAGACACACATACACACACACAAGATTTCAAAAATATGTTTTTCCGACTCAGGGAGGTGTAAAGCGTCGAGATTTCCAAAAATCTGTAAAAATCTCGATTTTTTTTTGCACGATTACAAGACTTTCTCTATACTTTGTATACAAGAAAGTAAAAAGCAGTGTTAGAAAACGAATTTTAGACGTTATTTCGTGTTTTAGAAAATTGTTCTAATAAATTGTAATATGAATTGATTAAAATACTCTATTTTGTGAGAGTTCAGACAAGAGTTTGGAAAAATATCCATGTTTAAAAAAAAATTCAACTGCAATTTTGAGGGGGGGGGGGGGGGGGGTTGTAGGCTGAGGTGCGACATCATTTTAGGGGAGGGGGGGGTCTGACTTCTTGTGACGATGTGTGACGGAGGGGAGGAGGGGGAGGTAAAAATCGTCCAAAAAGCGTGACGGCATTTATGGATGACCCCTAGATCTCGAGTCTAGATCTAGAATTAAGGAAAAAACTAGACTTAACGTTATCTTGGCTTAACGTAAATTCTACATCTAGAACAGGGGTCTCCAAACTTTTCAGCCCGAGGGCCGCACTAACTATCAAATATCAGTTAGTGCGGCCCTAGGGTTGAATATTAGTTCGGGGGCCAGAGTTATTTAAAGGCATCTTTTCGGGGTGGCGGAGGCCTCTAGTTGGGTGTATAGATCAGAAATTAGCAGAGGCCAATTTCTATACCCACTCTTCAGACATTAACGGCTGCGGCTTGCCTTTACTTTTAGGAAGTAGCCTATTTCCTTTCTTAACTTAAATACTTAGCCATCTTACTGCTGTGTATTTTTGGTAAATCTTGTGATTCTTTGTCTGTATCTCTCAACATGTCACTGAACTGTCTATGATTGAGCCCATGTAACCTCATGAAATTCACCATCTTCAACTTTTCCGTGGACAAAAAGCTCTCCGCGGGCCGGATTAGAGGACCTAGTGGGCCTCATCCGGCCCGCGTGCCGTAGTTTGGAGACACCTGATCTAGAATCTAGATCTAGAATCTATATACTAAATTTTTTCAGGCCTTAGTTATCTATCTACATCCATCCACATACAACTAAAACTCAACTTTGTATACATGTTTGAATATTTATTTGTTTGTCTGATTGGCTACTGGAGAGAATCTGCACTATGTGTAGAGCTGTAAAATAGTATGTAGGTAGAGAACAATTTTTGTTTTCAGACAGACTGTTAATCACAATTTATTTAAAGACGTTGATTAATTTATAAATTTATTCATAGGTAGATTTACCTTATTAATTATAAAAGTTTAAAACATTGACTTTGCTTTGTGGGAATAGTGGCGTCACATGATGTGTTTCATTTTTAGTACAATAAATGGCGGCTTCAATACAAGATTTCGTTGCCAATTCAGATCTTTAAAGCGTTATACTGCTAATTTTCTGTCGGCTATAACTTTAACAATTCGACCGTTTGCTGTATTTATTACGTTCCAACACTTATATTATCAATTTTCAACGGTCTTTTTCATTTAGGGATTTATCTATCTAGGATCTAGATCTAGATGTAATAGGATTACTCGCTAACTTGGAGGCGTGGTCGGTTGCTAACAACAATATGGCGTCCCAACCGGACGCATGACTTCCGACCATTTTTAGGCCATGTTTACCACGAGCAAAATGGCGGGTTTTCACGTTAACTAAACATGCTATAGGTGGCCAGGGCTAGATATGCCAGAAAAGCATTTTAAAATTTGCTTTGGAGAATGAAGGCTAAATTTTAAAGTCGGTGTCATTAAAATTAATAGAACTTTTAAAACGCCACCAATGACGTCAGTATATGAAGGGATAGTGTGGTCAGACCCATTCTCAGCCGAAATCGGTGTTTTTAAAAGATAAAAAACGTCTTTTTGACTGTGGGGTCTGGTTATTTTGTGATAAGTGACAGACGTGATGTCATTTATGGATGACCCCCGAAACCCACAGTCATCCAAGGGATGACGGGTAAGGCTAGTTTTATATAAATCTGTGTTGGCTTAGCTATGGAATAGGCTTATTTGTGATAAAATTTAATTTGAAATAATACTAGGGCCTTTTCGGGTAAATGAAGTTTCTTACGCAGACTATTCATATGACTGATCATGAAACTAATCTTACGAGCCTTGATAGCTAAGATGTTAGTGTAATAGGTTGCCATGCGGGTGGCACGGGCTCGGCACACATTATGACATGTTTAACCGAAAAACTGTAGCGTCTAAACGGAAAACTGTCACGTCTTAACGGAAAACTCAGATTTAAACTTAAAACCGTCACGTTTAAACGGAAAACTGTCCCACTGAGACTCAATGAACAAAGTAGCACAGTGTAACATATGATCTATGACGAACAATGGATAAACATTCCTTACATAAACGGGCCACATGTGGAGAAATGCAAATATAAATTTATTGAGCAATAAAATGTTAGTACGTAAAAGTCAGCTGCAAGTAACCCCACAAGCTGCAACACGCAAAAAGTAACGACACTACAGACTGAATGTTAAACAGGGGAGACGACTTTTAGTCAAACGTCAAGCAAAGGAGAAAACTCACATGTAGGTTGATTATCACTTTTTACCATAGAGTTAACTTTTCTTACCTGTTAGGATTAAAAACTTACTTAACCAAGCGGCAGTGGCGTAGCGAGGTCGGGTGTCACCCGTTGCGGCACTTAATGGTGTCACCCCCCCATAAAAATTATTTATATATATATATATATATATATATATATATATATATATATATATATATATATATATATATATATATATATATATATATATATATATATATATATATATATATATACTAGGCATACTGGCTAACTTTTTCAAAAAAGTTTGGAGAAATTGAATGAGTAATTAATAATTGGTGATTGGCTGTTATGTGGAGTGCTTAGGGTATATGCTTACACAGTCTGAGTAAATTTAAGTCATACAACTATCCGTGGAGCATTCAAAAACTTATTACTCGCTAGGTTATTAGAACTGCAATCGCTTCTTTAAAAGTATATATCAAATTATATATTTAATTCAAAATTGGAATTAACTTTTACAAATGAGAAAAATACATAACTTAATTTATAACAAAATATCTATTTAAATTAATGCTTTATTTTGTGATGCTTTTTTCTTTTAAAATAGTAAAAACATTATTAAGAAATTATTTGTCTTTGTTTAATTTTTCACACATAACTAATTATACATAGATATATGTATCTAGACAAATCTAACAATCCAAAGGGGTTATCCGAAGATAATATTTTTTTTGTTACCCTCCAGGGTCGGTCTGCGACCTCACAAAATATCAAGGGGGGGGGGGTCGTTCGGCAAAAATAATTTTTCGTAATATAGCTCATATAAGGCGCCGGTCAGTCGAGGTCAGTTTTGACCCTCTCTTCGTGTACTTTGCGGCCAACCGGTACCGGCCCATGTGTTCTATTGCCTGGCAAATTTGAATTTATATAAGTAAGTATGTACATACGCATGTGTATGTATTCACATATATAAAACCGTTTACCTCAGGCATAGTTTGCAACGTTGAGTTGATGTAACTTCCACCCACTCACCCCCTAACCAGACGGCGATTGCTTTAAACTGTGCTGAGATAATACTAACGATTTTTATCTATAGTCAGTTATAAATACAGCTTGCTTGATGTAGCATGTTTTCTCTATCATTAGCAGATTTACGTCATGGTGTCACCCCCTCCCCCCTTCCATCCTTTTCGGGATTTGTCAAATTTGCTCTTAAAAGATTATTTAACACTCTAATTAACAACTTATGTAAGTGGAATTATAATTTTTCTCTATATATTTTGCTATTTTTTTCCTTTGTGTCACCACTATAAATGGTGTCACCCGTGCCACCCCCCCCCCCTCGCTACGCCCCTGCCAAGCGGTTTGTGTAATTTCTTGTTTTTTAATTTTAGCGCATTCAAGTTTTCTTAATATGTAATGGATTTAACATCAATTTTTAACTGGCATTATTTCCTTTTTCTGACTCGTCTATTACATGTAAACTAAAGATTAATGAACATAAACAAATTAAACAAAATTGATCTGATTGACGACTTTATACACAATTGTTTTTTGTTAGTCATAATATTAATGTATGTGTCTGGTTAGTTTTAGATTTCAGCTTTAAATGTGCATTTCTCCTAACATAAACAATAAGAAATGTTGCTTTAAATATGTATTTATATTCAGCACTTGAAAGATTGTTTCCTTTTAGTCGTCAGTTATATTTATTTCCCCACGCATCAAGTCCAGCC